CACACAGGTGTCAATTGGCTAAGCTAAGTTTTGCACGCTTTTGCAAGCAACGTCAACGAGGTCGAGATGAATCGTTCACCGACGCCATTTAGAAATATAAAAGAGGAAGAAAAAGTGTCGAAGCAATTTCACAGAAACGACAGGAGTATAGAATGAATTTCAATTTTCTCGCGAAATAACAGGTTGACGCGTGTGGGTCGATTCGGTGGAGTCTGGTGGATGTTTTGTTGGTCGTCGGTGTCGTTGCACGATTCCGCTCGCGATTCCGCTCGCTGGCCAACGACAGAGAGAGGAGCACGTGTTTTCTAGGTCACGGCAGAAGACGACGGACTCGTTATTTCCGCGAAGCGACGCGCTATTTTCAGTCGCTCGACGAAGATATACGTGGGCTTCGGAACAGAGTCCTTTTTCCCTCCCCTGTCCTCGACACCGCCATCTCCTCTCTCACTGTCCACCATTGACGACTGGAAATAAACTCTTCTTCGCGACGCTAACAATGGGAACGGGTTTTCATTCAACTGGTTGGTTCGCTTGTATATCCGAGCGGAAAAGACGTGAGCACCAGCCTCTTCCAATTAGGCGAGCTCGCTGTTCAGGATGTTATTAAGTACGGGGGCATCGTCGAGAGGGTTTCTTAATTGACTGCTTGTCTTAATCGGCGATCGTTCTTAGATACAATGGCTATTGCAACATGCCAGAGACAATGACAATGCTCGACTTTGCTTCACGTTTTTGTTCTTTGTTGATCGAGACCGTTGGCATTGTGCGCGAAAGCACCCGGCCTTTTTGTAACCCTTTCTTTCTACACGCGTACACGAAACTCATCGACGTGGATTACGCCCGATGAAATTTTGGTCTCTCGTTGTTGGAACCTCCATTGACGCGTAGGAAGATAGCGAATATTTTCGAGAAGCCATCGATAGCCAGAAATCCGAAAGGGTAGAAAACACGTGGTCGAGGATGAAACGTAGCACATAACAGCGTGTGTCTATTTTCGCGATACGTCGAGCTATTCTCAGTTACGCTTCGGGTGCACGAAGTGCATCGACTGTCACTACGGTTCTAGGAATAAACCATCCGTCACTGTGAACTAGTTCGACGCGTGCGTTAGATCTACGACCCGATATTTTCTTTTCTGTCTTTTGTCGAAGCCGTTCGTCGTTGTCGAGTTTCGCGCTTACGTCACTTACCAGTCAAACTTTGATAAATAGTTGGCTCTTGTCCCACCTTTCGCGACGTAATTAAACGCCACCATTCAGATATCGATCTTCCTCTCCTTTTTATGAGATGACCATAAAGTTTCTTTTGTGTGTCACCAGTCAACGGAGAATCGATGTATCGAGCGTTTTCCTATTTAATGGGACAACTACTACATAATTCAATCGAACATTTTCAATTTTTCTCCGACAACGGTATTGACTCCGATGTTGTCGCACGTTCTGCTGCTACGTGTTCTACGACTACGCATTTGGTACGTTATATCACGCGATATGTGACGATATATCACGCATTTACAAGGCGTTGAAGGAATTCGCGTTGTATAATCTGGCGGTCTATCACCGCATGTTGTATTGTCAGGTTTTTCTATCTTCACGCATTATATCCTCAAGCGTTATGCCATATTTGCGTTGTTATCTCCTCGTATCGTATTTCCGCTCGTTGTACTTCTACGGGTTGTATCTCCACGGGTTGTGCAGTCACTCGTTCGATCTCCACCTGTCAGATCGTCACGCATTATAACCGAACACGTTATATCCTCAGGTGTTGTATCGTTAAGGTTGTTATCTCCGCTCGTTACATCGCCACGCGTTCTACGTCCAAAGTTCGATATCTCGGAATATCGAAGTACAGTAATTGAAACTCTCTTTGAATCCTTTAAGACGACTACTTCAAGTCGTATAAACTTGTTTAATATTCATGCAAATTGCGCAAGTTTTCTCGTCCAATTAAAACAATACCTTCTGGTTTCGTTTCTATCGAAGAAGAAGAAACAATTTCGGTGAATTGAATGCGAGTGTCGGTGTTATAAAACGGTGACCACTTGAAGAATATACATCTATAGAGGGTAGTTTTGAAGAGGAATTTGTGACTGGTGGAAAAGCTTCCACGGCGGTTGGTAACTAACAAAGAGAGCTTTCAGTCCGGAAAATTCGTCTGGCTTGGGCACTCTCTTTTGTTCGTCGCGCCGTCTGCACGCCGATTGCACCGCAAGAGAAGCGTTTCCGGAGCTAATCTGTCCTTAATCTCGCGTTTAGAATTGCTGCTGACCTACGAAGCTAGGCGAGAAACCATTTGTCCACAATGGCCTGAGTGTCGAGCGATAAGCAAACGGACGGCTCCGAAAAACGTTTGCCGATGAGGGTGCGATCTCGCTCGCCTCGTAATGACGAGCCAGAATTATTGATAATCGCTTCGGAAGTCGATGAATTCGTCGACGAATTTGTCAACTTGTTCGTTCAAAGCTCCGAATGAAATCGGAAAAATTGATTCGTGAATAATAGGTTGCTAGGTGATGCGTGGGATACTCGACGCGCCATCTTGTGAACCAAACAGGAAATACCCCGAACTATATTTGTTGAGTAGTCAAATTTGAACTGGGTTTAAAAATAGAATTTACAAAATTTCGGATCGACGTGCCATCTTTCGGGTTGAACGATAAATGCTACACACTTTGTAGGTAGCAAGGTGGGAATAAAGTTAACTTGATCTGACTTTTCATGCAAATAAAGTAGAAGCAGTGAAAATATATAGAGCGTGTAAAATATTTTCAAATGTTGAAATATTTGATGAGTTAGAAGTGGCAAGCACAGGTAAGGCATTCGATTAAAGAGAGAAGGGAAAGTGAATTTTTGGCGTAGAAGCGGCAGAGGGCGAAAAGTCGGGAATCGACCCAGGACCCTTACGACCCCACAAAGTGGAGCGTGGAGATGCTCTTTGGTGGCACCACTCTTTCTCTCTCTCTTCCACTTTTCATTTCCCTTCTCTTTTTTTCTTCTCACCCTTTGCTACTTTGCTGGTAGAACACCTCGACGCCACCTCTCGACGGTCCTCGGCCTTTTCAGTCTTGGGAACGCTCAATGTTTCCCGTACCAAGCGTTCGTTCGTTTTTTAACGAGAATAAAGTATTTTCGATACTTTCAAACTAGTTAACTGGCCAAGCTTTTTTCCGGGTCTTAGCTGGATCGATAGAGAAGAAAAGAACTAGGAAACGCGAATAAAATCGAACGATGTTTCTCTTGAAACGAAAGTTGGCTCGCTGACAGAACAAAGTAGAGCCATAAATCCTGTGTCGAAGTTATAAACAATACCGGAACGATCGAAAACAATGACGTCCGAGAAGACGACTATGTTTTTGGCGACGAGCCTCGTGCTCGTTATTTCAATTGCTCATGGACGAGCGTTAATTAAGATTTGCGTACTCATTTGGCATCCTGCCTGTCGAACGCCAATCGGCCCTCGAACTTTCGCTCGATATGGATCCGCAGCTTTCCACGTTGACGTGAGTCACGCATGTCTCTCGATGGTGTATAAATATATCTACCATTTTAACTCGACGATTCACCATATTTATGACCAAAAGTTTCACTTTCTCGAGCCTGTTAATTGACCGATGTGTAACACAAATCGTTCAAGGTAAACAAATCTGTTTGTAAATGGATCGTTAAATCTCCTACGAGAGTTGAGACTAGAGTCCGACGAAGATTTACAGTTTAGCATAACGTTCACCCACCGAAATCTCTGCGCGTATACTGTAACGCTCGTGTGTTGTCTATATCATCCATGCACAATTGCATTCGCGAGCTGCAGACGGCCACTCGTGAGGCCTCAGCGCAAGGATGAATCAACTCGCGTTAACAGGTTAATTCTGAAAATAATAACGCTTTAAGTACTAACGTGTCACACTTATAAGTACTACTTTGCGCCTAGAAATTAGTAATTCTTTGGTCAAAATATTCATTTAAATCTTGCATAGGCAATTAGGTACCAATTTTTATATTTTCTTTCAACGATCTTTCAGCATCTGGAAATATCGGAGAACGGGTACTTTCGGGACCAATATCAAAGTTGTTAAAACTTTTCTATTATAATTTGCAGATAATAATCTAAACCCGAAGACGTACCTTCTATATCTGTAACTGAAAATTTGACTGCTTCACAGAAATGTGATATCAATGCAGCAGTCTGTGCAAGACAAGAAGTTTATCTTCAAGAATGGTAGCTGGTAACATCCCAGTTTCTCTCGACGATCCAATCATAGTATCCTCGATTAGCGATTTTCCATTCCGATAATGAACGAACATTCCACCGTAGAGATCTTACAATTAGTGGCTTCCTGTTCTTCGTCGATCCTAGACTAGCTATGTACATATATAATATACATATCGAGTAGTAATAGCTTGGTCGATGTTAATTCTTTATCGATCTCTCGCCTGACCGATCTATCAAGGTGTATCGCAGCCTAGCAGGCTGTCGACCTAGTGGCTTGCCAGTCTAGTAGCTCATTAAGAGAATAGCTCGGTATAGGGGCTGTTAGTGCAGAGGTAGCGCAACCTAGTTTTGTTACGTTTGTACGATCCTCTGTACGTATACTAACAAGCAGAGGGCCCCAACTTCGGGTCGCCGATTTTAATGAAACTTCCACAAAATGTAGTGGGCTTCTTCCTCCTCGCAAATCGTACCACGCGTCGGACCAAATACTTCCTACTTTTCGAGTTCCATCGTTTCCTTCGCACTATTCCAAGTTAAATTTCGTTACTTTATTCTAACCTTTTGAAAATGATTTGCGAAGAAGCTCGCTACGTTTTTTAACAGTTTCATTAACCTTCCTTAGATCTTTACGTAACGTCAACGCGTTATAATCGGCGGGGTTGAAGCTCTCTTCTTGTCGAATTAAACGTTTCCTGTATGTGTATATAAAGGAATATGTATGTATATTTCGTTTGGCTCGAGAATGGTCCAGAAGAGGACGGTTTAACGATACCGTTGTGTTTCTTTTTCAGATCGCTGCCGAAACTCAGCAGCCAGGACGAGGATGGGCCGAACCCCCACACCCAATACTCAGGCGTCACTCACTTCGAGCCCATTCCGCACGATCATGACTTTTGCGAGAGGGTCGTCATTAACGTGAGCATCTCAGACTTCACTTTACGTTTCGATGCGTCAATTAATTGGGATGACTCTGTGACAGACTTCGCGATTGCTTACTCGAGCAAAACCGGTTGTTTACTCGAATCTAATGCTCACTTTGAAGGTTAGGTTAAGTTTCTAACAATGGAAATTTGTGAAATTCTGCCATACTAAATCAAACTCAAATATGATACATTGCAGGATGAAACTGTAAAACTTTATTTCGCGAAAAATCAAATTGTTAGAGCTTATATGCATCGCACTGTAGGACGGTTGGCTCGGGATCGTTTCATTGGAGCGGCGAGATAATTGGAGTCGAAATTTCTAGCTGGAAAAAAGTACGACCCCGCATTTGATCGCAATTGTGCGGAATAACGAAGCATACTTGTCACCCTGTTCGACGCGGCAAAGAAAAAGATTGAAATCGGTGAAATAAAACGGAGAATTGGAGTTGAACGAGTCAGCATGTAAATCGTTTTTCGATTTACACGATTTACCCGGTCTATTCGGAGATTCGCAGTTAACGTGTTTACAACGTAACCTATATTGTTTGTGTTCTGCAACGAATGTCCAACGTTTTCTCTTTTAAATTGTTAAGTAACTCGAGTTTTATTTTGCATTCGCATATTTGCAGAGCGGCGGTCAGTTAGTAATCGATATTACATATTTAATGCGAGCAAATAATTACCGAATGAATAAAAAATTAATTGTTTACGGATGTCCGATGTTTTCTCTAGAAAAATTCCACCTAACGCAATTAGCGCATATGTTTATCCGATATCGAAAATTTATTTTATCTGGAAAATTTTTGAAATTCAATTAGCGGTCGGCAATTGATAGTGCAAATTGAATTCGGGCAAACAAATTAACGAAGAATTAATTTTAAACGGATGTCCAATATTATCTGTTGGAAATTTATTTTCGATTAGTGTAGTATCACTTCGGTGCTCGTGTGATGTCGAAAGTTCTTGAAACTTAAGGATTGCCGTCATCGGTAATCGATATCGCGTGTTTAATTTAGACAAACAGTTAACAAATGAACGAAGAATTAATTTTTGATGGATTTTCAATATTTCCTCTTTCAAATTTCTTCTCTATCACTACGGTCTCGCTGCTCGTTCGATGTTGAACACTCTTCAAACTGTCGAATATTTTGAGAAGTTTAACAGGTTGATTATTAAAATCGAATAACGAATTGTTGCGTTAGATAGTGTCGCCCGGAATTGATTGATTTATTGCATGGGAAATTTACGTATAATTGCAGGATTCCAAAAGCGTCGAAAGCGTTGAAAGCATTAGCGTTCGCTGAAAGAAGGCGATCCGCGTTCAGGTCGATTTCCGGTGTTTTTCAACTCAGCGGGATACGCGCGTAAATTATCATAGGAGCCTCTGCTTATTTCTCCGTTCGTATTTCTTTCTTTTCGACGAAGCAAGATAATCTCAAGACACGAAGTGACCTACAGACCGTATTTTGGCAGCCGTCCAAGTTCGTCTTGGAATCAGGGGCAATATAGTACCAAGGTCGTATTGTGTGAACGAAATTATCTGTCCTCGTGGATGACACGACTGCATTGCGCCAATTACAGTAACTGTTCGATCGTTCCCTCGAAAAATTCGCGATACAAATCGTTTCGCACCAGGATCGAATCTTTCTTCCCCTCGAGTCACCGCAAACTTACCTTACTTGAAGCCTGGAGAACCTGCCATCAGAATTTACGATTAAATTACGAAGAAACTGTGCAGTAACTGTTTGATAATTCCCTGCTTTCGGGGCTCTAGAGGCGGACCTCTCAACGAAATCGCATATCTCGACACTCGCTGGTCCTATCTTCCGGGCTTTTAAAGAAGGGATTGGATCAAGAGAATCCTAAACAATCTAGAAAAGATGGTAGACAAACTTAGAGGGAGGGCTGCAGGAAAGGAAGACCTTTTTCAAAGGTTTCTCTTCCAAAATCGAATTTGAGGTGGATCAGAAGACGATTTCCGTGACAAATCCTGGCTATTCGGTGACGTTCGATAACGGGAGTAAATATCGACCGACGACACGGTGCACACGCGTGTGTCCGCGCCGCCGCGGGTGCAATCCAATTTCTGTTCTCGACGGGACGCTCGTCGGCGTTGAGTTCTAACTTGCCTCCTCGTTTTTACCAAATTCCCCGTTAAAATGCCCTGGGCTGCCCTTTCTACGTTCACTCCGACGAAATTGTCGATCCATCAAAGTTGAAAGCGTTTTGGAATTTTTCCAATCGCTCCAGAAGTAGATAGTCACCGAGATCATCCGATCTCGCAGGATCCGACAGAAAGAACCTACATTTTCAAGCATTCCATGTATCGAACGTGCTTCTGAATCGATCGATTCATCCACTATGATTCTATCAAAACTTGTACCATATTTCTCGAGGCGAATGCGGTTTTTAAATCGCGGAGATGCTCGACGTTGATCTTTTGCTCGCCATCATCGATAAACCAACTTCTGCCGCGACAGTTATAACCGATGCTTCTTCTTTTTCTCCTTAATCGCCCTAATGGCGGGATGCAATTACCCCAGTTTCGTTTATTAGTTTGCCGTTGCAGGAGCGTCTAAAGAAGGTCCTTAGTCCTTCGTCGGTCGAAACAAATCAGTCGTAACGATAATTTTCCGTATTCGGCGTTACGTTCAGCACCGATTAACGCGTGCGATGATTCAGGAAATGTACCATTTTCCTAAAGAGACAAAGTTGCTTCGATGTCTCCAAAACGCACGAAAAGCGAGTGACGAATAGCTGCATAATGAAAGGGTTAAAGCCCGTCGTAAATAACGCGGCAGTCTCTATTATCGGATATCGATCAGTAGGTATTGTACCGCGTGGAAAATTGGCGATTCGCAGGCGAGACGTATCGACCGTGCGGTCCTAATTACACCGATAGCGAAAACTGATTAATCCTGTGGGCCAGGTTACGGTGGCCAATAAATGCGGAATGTTAATAATAATAATCGATAATCCTTCGAACGATGTTGGACAGGTGAGCGGGCTAAAGTTCGAGACGCAGCTGCGTACGCTGAACCAATTTCCGGACACGCTCCTTGGCGATCCGTCACGGCGGCTCCGATACTTCGATCCGCTTCGCAACGAGTACTTCTTCGATCGGAATCGGCCATCCTTCGACGCGATACTTTACTACTACCAGAGCGGTGGTAGACTACGTCGTCCTGTCAACGTTCCTCTCGATGTCTTCTCCGAGGAGATCAAGTTCTACGAGTTGGGCGAGTTGGCTACCAACAAGTTCAGGTACACATACTTCGCATCCTTTGCCGATACAGTAGACCCTTGTAACGTTGCCTCCAGTTATACAGCTATATAGTATAGTCGTTTTACGTCGTATACCTTCGTTAAAGTTAGAGCACCGATGGATCAAATGATCGCTCCGTGGAAACCTTTTATTAAAATCCGCGTTCTTATTTCAATTTCTTGTACCGTTCGTTGTTACGAGTGTACGGAAAATTGTTGATGCAACGAGACACCCGAGAAAGAACAGATTGAATTTCCCCGAAAAGTAGAAGGTTCCCCATTGAAGTCCAACGAGCTCGTTGTTCGAGGGAATTCAATCTCCCGCTTGTAAGTGGACGCCTATCTCTTTCCATGACTTTCGTTACCACGGAAAATAAAAGAGGGGCGAGGGAATTTCTTTTCGCGTTAATAACGATAGCCAGAAAGAACATTCTTTCCACGAACTAATAATATCCGTCTCGTGTTCTCGTAAGTTCTTTGTACGATTATTTCTTGCAGAGAGTCACGGAAGATCGAGTTGTCGTAAAAGTGTAATATCACGGGCAAAAACCGTCCAAGTCGGGCGTGTACACCGAATCTAAAAGTTGAACGAATTTCCAGGGAGGACGAAGGATTCATCAAGGAAGAGGAAAAGCCGCTGCCGTCGCACGAGTTCCAAAGGAAGGTCTGGCTGTTGTTCGAGTACCCGGAGAGTTCACAGGGTGCCCGCGTGGTCGCCATAATATCCGTGGTCGTGATCCTCCTGTCGATCGTGATATTCTGCCTGGAAACGTTGCCCGAGTTCAAACATTACAAGGTGTTCAATACGACGACGAACGGCACGAAGATCGAGGAGGACGAAGTGCCGGATATCACGGACCCGTTCTTCCTAATAGAGACTATTTGTATCATCTGGTTCACGTTCGAGTTATCGGTGCGCTTCCTCGCCTGTCCAAATAAACTGAACTTCTTCCGTGACGTAATGAACTTCATCGACATCATCGCGATCATTCCTTACTTCATCACCCTGGCCACC